TTTCTAATTATTCCTGGAATATATTATTAGCTTTACTATCAGTAAATAGAACCCTAAGAGGTTTTCTGGTGGTGTCTTTCCTATGTCCTGTAAGTCTCAAACAAATACGCGATGGCACTAGAGCATGGTCTGAATCTAAACATGTGCCGCACAAAGGGCGACGATCCTCTACCGAAACCCCATCGGTAGCTGATCTTGTTGAGTCCAACGCCGAGATGACTTTTTGGGGGTCGCCAGGTCTGAAGATGTTTCTCCTTAAGCTTAAAGTTAGTTTTTTCTAGGAATAGGCGGTTTGCTGAACACAGTGGTATCTATCGAATTCATTCACATTGGTATTTGTAGACTACCTGGTTGGGGTCAGAGAGACGATAGTGACCGATGGTTGGAGACCTTGAACGATATTGTTCTAGATTGTTTGCAATGGAGCAGGTGCATAAATTCTTTGTGTTCTATCAAACTTCAATCTTCTGAATTCCTGAAGATCGTTTCTTACTCTTTTTTAACTGATTAATCTGGGGTATTCATCTCAAAACATATATCCTATTAATAAGCTTATTGATTACTGATAATGCTTCTACTGCCTCTACTAATATAGGATTTGAGTTGAAAATTGCGTCTTCATGCTAATCAGGGTATGGCAGTTTGAACTGATATACATACGTACGATGTTCTATGTTGCAGCTGACTGACTGATTAAGTTTTAACTCAATCCAAAATGTTTCCATAACGAGAACTGGCTTGTGGCCACCAAGCGATCACTGCAACATCAAACACTCCTGGTCGTAATTTAAGAGCAAGACTTGAGCGAAAGAAATCAATCAATTTAGGCTAACTTGTGAAATATATATTAGGTATTGGATATTGCTTTGTTGGCGGTGTATTGCAATCGTGCGTCACGTTACAGAAGGCAAGTTGGTTTTTCCTGTTATTACATTCATAAGGGCTTTCCCCTACCAAGTCTTGTAGGACTTGTAGTATAAATACAGGATATATAATCTTACTAACTACTCATGGTAAAGCTGAGTGTTTTTAGCTAAATGTGTGGTTGGTTAAAACGAAGTTTCATATCAGTTTGACCAAGCTAACAACAAAGGGGAATTGTTGTTTGCAAGATAGTGATTAAGAAGTATATTTTGACGTTTTGAAATAGGAGAAGACGGAGAAGCGTTGCAAACAGGCACTCATGTTGTCTCTGTCTACTCCAATAACAAAAGTATGCTTATCCTTACCAAGCTTAAGCCTTCCCACTCTGAATTTACACGTGATTGAAGTAAAAATATATGATTTCTCCTTTCAACATATCAGACAGGATCTAGGTTGCCCAACTGCGACTGTGTATAACGAACAAATACGCCGTGACTGATAGGATGACAACAAAATTTTATTTGATAATGCATTAATGTAACTTATAAACTTCGTCTATTATGGTTTTCAAAAACCACAGCTGCTTTTCCTCCTGAGGGTTTCTTAAGACCGAGTCTTTGTGTAATTTTGAAATAGAAGACCTCGAATTCACTGAATTAGAATCCAGTTGTAAGATCCAATTAAATAACCTACTTTTCTGACTTAATTTTACGTACATTAGTTTGATTTAAGAATCATAAAGGATTACTTCATAGCTAGTACAATTCAGTTCTTGATTGTGATTTCCTGTTACTGGTCCAACGAGGTGAAGATTTACAACTGTTCAAAGTATAATATGATAGGCTTAAATCATACACTTGAGTTGTCGAGATGGCTTTGTGACGGGAGGCTATTTTCGGTTTCGACTATTCTGTACAATGCCCCAACACCCGGATTTTAAAAAACCGATCATTGACCTTAGTAAAGACTTGATACTATCAATCTCTTCACCACTTTCGTTATATGGAATGTAGTGATAAATACAAAGTTAAACAAGTATCCCTGATTTGAATTTGTTTCAAAATTTTGTCCTTCCATCAACTGATCGTCGATTCCCAGGACAAAGTTGTCACCCAGCAATTATGCTTAGTTATCGTTATTAAATCTTGACTTCAAAGTAGGTTGTATCTAAGATTGTCTTCCAGAATGTTCTATCACATCTATATTCCCCTATTATGAACGACGTATCTGTTTTGTGTAATAATTATATTCTGACAGTCGAAAGTAGGACACTTCAGTTAGATTCTTGACGAAAGATTTCGTCATTCTCTGAAAATCGACAAACTGTTTAGGTTGCTTTGAGGTTTGCTAAATAAACTATGTTGATGACATTCACTTAGCTTTATACGCGTAAATGACCTGTGTGTTGAATAATTATCCATCACTTTATACTTTGGAGTTTTCGCATACATATAAAAACTAGTGACCTCAGTCAGCCACAATGCAGAACTTCGTACGTACGAACGTACATCAGTTCATGTTGCCATACCACAATGACACAGAGATGCAATTATCAATTCAAATCCCATAGTTCCAGAGATAGTAGAAGTATTAGCAGTAATCCGAGACATTGAGATTCGAAGATATTATTCAAGAAGTATAGTTCAGTGAGATACGTTTAGAAAGAGAAACATAGAGATGATGAGTAATTCAGGTTAGACTTTGAGAGAAGACAAAGAATGGATGCACCTGCACCGTTGCAAACGATTGTGAGCCATGTCATTCGACGTCTCTAACCATCGGTAACTATCGTCTCGCGGACCCCAACCAGGTAGTCTTCGTCTACCAGCACGACGTCATAACTCTTCTAAATGAAGACTTTCTAACTCATATGTCATAGTTTAAATGGTTTGTTAGCGCTTGTTTAGCGAGTTAGTTTTCTACGAGATGGGGTCGCCAACTGCAAGCCCAACCCTTCTCTTTTGTCCGGCCTTGGGGCCAGCAGTAGCCCCGAACGGGCTTTGGACGGAGTCCGATAAATCAAGGAGAGGTTACCCAGAAATGAAATGTCTGCTAGTCGCTGCATTTCCTTATTCTATTTCACTTAGATTTCCTCTTGTGTTAACAACACATTCCTAGTTGCTAGTATTGGTTACTCAACTATTTACTAAATTTTTAACCTTGTACTACAAAAAGATATGTAGAGAAGTTTAAACTCGTGTCGATTCTCATATCACTCCTCGCCTATGTACGTTTGTTATGATTTTTATGTTCTGTACTTAGGTTCTGTGATCAACTCCAGCGGTAAATTTACGCGATTATCACCCGAGCGTACCACTCGTTCGTCCTTTCGCAGTTGGTTCGTGTGTCTAACACAGCTTCCGATAGCTCCTGTTATTCGATACAAAACTCTTCCTAGTCTTTGTGCGACGGTTCCTGGTTCCCATTGATTTCTCCCTAGATATGATTTTAGGAACACTTAATCGCCAACGTTGAAGCTGCGAATATTTGGACGTGGCCTTTACCTACTCACTCTTTTAGGGAGCGAAATCGCGTTAAAAATAGTCCGAATACTTCTCCCAAACATTGCTTCAGCTGGAGACTTACCCTCTGGGACCGTATGGTTCGGAGTGCCTCTGTAAGCCATTAAAAATCTAGTGATTACTTGGCTAGTTGGCCCCTCGTCCCCCCTTTCAGTAAAGCTCTTTTAAAGGTGTCCACGAAGCGTTCTTCTTGTCCATTGGATTGGGGATGGTAAGGTGAGGACCGTAAATGCTTTATGCCATTCGAACTGCAGGATCGCTTGAATGAGTCCGCAGCAAATTTTGATCCATTATCAGTTACCAAGGTTTCTAGCACTCTGAAACAACTAAATAAGGTAGACAGCTTCTGAATAGTTTCTGAGGCTGTACGATTCGGCATGCTGTATATTTCTGGCCATTTTGTATACGCATCTGCAATAATTAGAAACATTTTTCCTTGGATTGGGCCAGCGAAATCTGCATGAATTCTCTCCCAAGGTCCAGTAGGTTTCTGCGATTGTTGAGGTTCACATTTCGAATGGTCTCTTTTGCGGCTTGTACGCATGAAAGGCAGTTTCGGCATTTGGTTTCTATATCTTTATCCATCGAGGGCCAGTAGGCATATCTGCGCGCCAACGATTTCATTTTGTTTATTCCAGGATGACCACTGTGAAATTGCTTGAGGGTTTTATGTCGCAATAATTCCGGAATAATAATTCAGTCACCAAACATAATGCATGAGTTGATATTAGTGAGTGAATCGCGCCGGCGGAAATATTGTTGCAGTTCTCCTTGTAGCGCTGATTGGCTAATTTCCTATCCAACCAGCGCCTGATCGATTCTTGAAGAACAGGGTAGAAAATTATCGTATTGTTAGCAGCATGCTGATTGGCTAAATCTAATCCAGTCGGTCACGTGAATTTCTATCCAGAAGCTTCTCATGTAAATGCTATAAACAAACTAATGTTGTACCTACTTTCGCCTCCGCCTTTGGCTTCTTATTTCCATTTAACCTTGCTATTTGGAATATAATCTTTTCCTGTTCAACCGTGTTTTTGATTCTCGGGAACTTGTTCAGTGTATTGTGGTCAGAGAATACTAAGCAATAGGATTTAGCCGCGAATTATATAAGTAAGCCGTTGCAACAATAATCTTAGTATTTACTGAAAGTACATTTAAAATTTACTGCTCAGAAACATTAACACACTGAATATCTATGCCTACTTAAGATTATTAGTAACCTCTGACGTGTTGGTCCTGTAGAACCTTAGGAACGTATACTTATTAACATAACAAGACCTCGCAAGCGATTCCTAACATTATGAAACCCAACCTCCATAGTATTTCGATATATGAATCATACGTCCTTAATATGTGATTCAAATGACCTTCAGTAAAAATAATCACTGAATACAAACTCATATGTTGCTAATTGCTACTTCCTTCATACACTAACACTATCCAGTATTGTATTATGATCATTGCACCAAAATCTTAAAAGTTTACACATACACACAGCTTGAATTTGTTACTTCACTTAGCTGAATAAGTTTTTTTTAAATTTAAACTTATTATTAAACATTTGAAAATTTCACAATTACAGAATAAATCTACAACCAAATTATTTGAAAATAATAATAATAATAATAATCACTTTCAAGAATTATCAATCACAAAATTTCTGTAATCCAGTAGAGTAATGTCTGTATTTCATGATGAAGTGGAAATTGAAGACATGGAATATGATAAAGAAACCGAAACATATTCATATCCTTGTCCATGTGGTGATCGATTTCTAATTACCAAGGTTAGAATTATTATTTTTGAATAGAAGCTTTTTATTTTCTTCTATAGGAAGATTTATTATCCGGTGATGATATAGCACGATGTCCAAGCTGTTCCTTGTATATACGTGTTATCTATGATATGGTAAGTGTGATTTACATTGATCTAATCGTCTGATACACTTTTTATTTTACTTTAGGAAAATATACTCCCTGATCTAAAAGAATCATCATCAGCAGCAGCAGCTGAAATAATGGTTTCTTAAATATTTTGTTTTTGGAGTGTATTTGTTGCAGTAATGATGATTGTAAACAATTCGGTTGACAAACATTCTTTTCAGTCATGTTGCGTTTATGAACCCTCATGTAAACTATGCCATTTCCTTTGTTGGTGGTGGTTCATGGAGGAGAAACTAACTTTCAATCTATATTTTTCTATTTTTGCCTTTATCAAATAAATTTTCATTGATCTGGCGTGTTTATTGTTTATAGTTTGTATTATTAATTATTCGATACATCGAAACCTATAGACTGTTAAGATTAGTAAGAACGAAGTTACAGATTATTAGTAGCTGGGGTATGGTAGAAACGATTCAAGTGTGAATAACATGTTAACCGATATAAATAACAAACTATCCAATGGGAAAGTTCTGAAAAACAACACATGTCCCAATCGCTGACTGCTTCGACGACCGATATTTTGCCATGTAGGAGTAGGTTAGAAGAAATCTAAAGACGGCCAAACCAGAACATGGCACGAATCTATGCAGTCAATGACAACTGGACTTAGCCATGCTAGTAGATGCAGACTACCTGGTTAGAGTCCGCAAGGTGATAGTAACCGATGGTTGGAGACTTTGGACGACATGGCTCGAAATCGTTTGCAGTGGCGCAGGTGCATTCATTCTTTTAGCCTGAATTCATCATGACTTTCACCTTTCTATTCACTCTTTGTGTTCTCTCAAATTCTAATCTTTTGAATTCGTCATCACATCTATCTTTCTCTTCCTAAACTTATCTCACGGAATTATACTTCTTGAATAATATCTTCGAACCCTAATCTCTCCGATTACTGTTAATAGTTGAATTGCGTTTCTTTGCCATTGTGGTATAGCAACATGAACTGAAATGCGTACATAGGTACGAAGTTCTACGTTGTAAACCTACCTACTGTACTGTACTGATAAAATAATATCTCATCAGAGTTAAGTGTATGAAAACATTTTGGTTATTTATTCTTCTGTCTTAACAATGAGAGACGACAGTTGAATATGTAAAGAAAATTTAATGAAATCAAATGTTTTTTTTTGCGGATAGACAACTAGTCTTGTCCGTTTAGTAAATCCGATACAATCGATTGTAATTCTTTTTTGAAGGTTGCCGATGAGAATTTTTCAGCAACTCGTTCACAACCAGCCTTTCCCATACGATCAGCAAGTTCGGAATCATTGATAAATCTGAAATTTTAGAAAATGAAAAAAAAAACGAGGGAATTTTATTACTTCTTCCATAGAAAGAATCCATCCGTTGTAGTTAGTAAATTTGAAGTAAAACAACAACAGACAAGTAGTATACCCGTAACAGCACGAGAGACCAAATTGCTCAAAATCAAATCCTTCCTACACCCACACATACCTCTCTTCTCTCCACAAGTAACTCTACTGACATTCCCTTATCTGACTGCACCGCTAATGCAAACGATGCGAGTTCACGAAACGTCATTTCTGGTATCTTGAAACCTCGTTCTAGTCTACATGTTGGAGCATTTAATGTACGGACATTGTGTCAAATATGGCAACAGGCATCATTAGCTAGGACTTCAGAATCTCGTGCCATCGATGTGTGCTGCGTCTCGGAAACGCGCTTTCAGGATCCTAGTATATTTAGTGCTAGACCAAGTTTCACTAACTAAAATCTACAAAGTAAATTTGCAAATGATTGTATTTATCATCAAATATAATTTTGGATTGAGTTAAGACTTAATCAGTCGAACAGTTACAACGTAGAACTTCGTACGTACGTGCGTACTATAAGTTCAAGTTGCCATACTCAGTCAGTCAGTTGCAACGTAGAACTTCGTGCGTATGTACATCAGTTCAGGTTGCCATACCACATCAGCACACAGACGCAAATGTCAAATCAAATACCACAGTCATAAAGATAGTAGAGGTATTAATGGTAATGAAGAAGACTAGGATTTGAAGATATTATTCAAGAAGTATAATTCAGTGAGATAAGGTTAGGAAGACAAAGGTAGAGGTACGGACGAATCCAGAAGATTAGGATTTGAGAGAACACAAAGATTGGATGTACGTGCGCCATTGCAAACGTTCAAGGTCTCTAACCATTGGTGACTTTCGTCTCGCGGACCCCAACCACGTAGCCTACATCTACCAACATGACTCAGTCCTCTTGTCAGTGACTTCATGGATTTCTGCCATGTTTTGGTCTGACTGCCCCTAACTTTCTTCCAACCTACTCCTACTTCACAAAACATAGCTTGTCGAGTAATTCGGTGAGCTATACTACATTAGCACAGAGACGCAAAAGTCAGTTCAAATCCAATAGTGGTAGAGATAGATAGTAGAAGTATTACTGGTAATGTAGGAGATTATGGTTCGGAGATATGATTCAAGAAGTATCATTCAGTAAAATAAATTCAAAAACAGAAAGATAAAGATGATGAGGAATTCAGATTACAATTTAAGAGAACACAAGAAATCGATACACCTGCACCATTGCAAACGATTTTGAAGCAACACTTTGCATTTAGAGGGGGAGAATGACATCTCGAACATGCTTGCTTTGTTGCTTAGAGTAGTCAGAACACTCTGTATTTTGTCAGCGTCTTCACCAAACACAAGCATGTCTTCAGCATATTCTAAGGCGACAAGCAAATCTCCTGGTAAAAGTTCAACGGAAAATTCAGGTGATAAAGCACATCAATGAAGAAGTCTAATGAGGATGGAGAAAATGGACAACCCTGACACACACACCACTTGAAGTAATCAATTCTAATGATAGTACGACATAAGCTCTCAGCTCATGGAGTATGGATCTGTTGAATATCAAAATTCCAGGTAAGGATCTGTAAGATAATCGTTATTTATCGCTGAAGACCTGCTAAATCTGGAGACTAATTACAATCACAAGTAAATATTCATGATTTTCCCTAAATTTTAACGCCAATATTACCACATACATTATTGAATGTTTCTAGAACAAAGAGACAAAGGTGATTTTTCTATTTACATTCGACGCTTTTCAAAGGTCTAATCTAGATGAAAGCATTTAAGGTCAATTAGCTATGCTATGCTGTACTGTTTGTATAAGCTTTTTTTTTGCGTTTTCGCTACCATGCTTACCACCTACTACTTAGTTACACCTGTTGCCCCCTCCCACCACCCAATGGAGCATAGACTGCCAACCAGTAGTATTTTCCAACCGACTGTGTCCTGGGCAAGAGTAGCGAATGAAGAAGATATCTTTTCCTACTTAGTGAAATCCAGCTATAGAAGTTAATCCAGTATAAGCTCCACCATCTCAAGATCATATGAGCGTGACACGCTTCTTTTTATTCGAAAATGGAAGAATCTAGCCAAAAGGCAAGCTTCCACTCGAGAACAAATCTACTTTCTCTACGAATATCTTCGTCAGCATGTTCTGCTAACAAGTATCAGATACAGAACACCACCAATCAAGATCAAGGTTAGCAGAACAAGCTACAGGTCAAATGTGGAGTAATTCAAATACTTCACCTCTTCTATCTGAAGTTTGTGCTGATGATGATGTTGTTCAGTAGGAGAACAATTGAAAGCTCCACAACCAAAACAATATCCAGCTCAGAGAACCAAACACCACCACTACAATCATCCACCTGAGCTACAAATTTTCTCCACCATCTGATAAGCTTTTTACGATGATTAGTGCAATAAGTCTATTTGTGTTAGTTATAGTTATTCCAACATATCCCTGCTTAAAATGTCATTGTATGGAAACGAAGCACTGCCACAATCTGAGAGCCTTTATTATCTGTTTCCAATAACACTCGACAAACACGTGCCATCGCAGTGAACAGTAACACAAACGTTGACAGTAGAATATAGCATCATATTCAGCCTATAGAGGATTTTATGTAATATAAACATACTTGCTAAGATAATTAGCCATAGTCTCTGGAAGTTGATTTATTGGATGTACTGTACACAGAAATCCTGTGGTATCATGTAAAATAGTTTCTTTAGGACCACCAGAATTCAATGCAATCACTGGTCGAGACAATGACATTGCTTCAATTGGAACAATACCAAAATGTTCTTTATCTGGAGTGTAAATCACTGCATCACTGGAGGCAATTAATAAAGGTTTGATTTCAGATGAACAGGAACGCATAAAAGTGACATTGTCTGTAAGCTGCAAAATATATATACATAAATACATACTCCATTTATTACTAATTAACATTGTATATTCTCATGTAGTGAACGAGAACACAGGTGGGGCAACCGGAGTGTATTTAACGAAACTTACAGAGTTACTACTCAGTAAAATAGGAAAACCATATCGTAAATCGTTAATTTGCAAATTATCAGTCCATCATATCGAACTGGACTGTTCCTGTTGCAAACAACATCAATCCATTGTCACTATTTATGCGTTTCATACAAATTCCACTGTTTTCTAACTCTTCTTTTCTTGATCTTCTCCCATCTTCTGCTGCCAGACATTACGTTGACACTCACATCATATACTACTTATAAGTAGCTCGCACCACACTCAGTTTAATGCATTTCTTGACAATAAACACATCTAATTATTTTTCAGTGACTTTATATATTTATTGAATTTAATACACATTAATTCTGCTATGACTGTGTACCAAGAAAATAGTTATTAATCTTCAATCTGAATCGATTCTAATATCTGGTTGCGATATAGGAGTTCATTTTCTTTAAGGCGAATTGTTTGTTCGTGGTAACTTGATACAATGGACCATACTTCAGTCAGTCAGATGTAACGTAGAACTTCGTACGTAAGTACATCAGTTTATGTCGCCATACCACATTAGCACAGAGATGTAATTGTCAATTCAAATCCAATAGTAGAAGAGGTAGTAAAGGTATTAGAAGTAATCGGAGAGGTTAGGATTAGATATTATTCAAGAAGTATGATTCAGTGAGATAAGGTTAGAAAGTCAAAACTAGAGTTGTTGAAGAATCCAGAAGATTAGGATTTGAGAGAACACAAAGAATAAATGCATCGGCGCCATTGCGAACGATTGTAAGCCATGTCATTCAAGGTCTCTAACCATCGATTATTATCATCTCGCGGACCCCAACCAGGTAGTTGACAATTACCGACATGGCTAAGTCCACTTGTCAATGAATTCATGGAGTTGTGCCATGTTTTGGTCTGGCCGCCCCTAACTTTCTTCCAACCTACTCCTACACCACAAAACATAGCTCGTCGAGGCAGTCGGTGGTTAGGGATTACAACAATCCAATGGATCATAACTTGCTCACATGACTCAGTTCAGTTATTAACAACTCTATAGATTGATAGTTAGTTAGAGAAAATGGATCAATGGGTTAGACCAAAGGTTCGAATTTTCAACCAGTCTCTGTTCATCTTAAACAACAACCACAGTAGAACCAATTAACCCTCATAATATAAGATGTAAATCGTAGCCGAATAACACGTTTCTGTTATAACTGATAAATTCTAAAACGAAACAATCTAGGAAGTGTTTTAAAATTAATTGAATCAATTAATTTTTTAGTAGTATGGTGTGTGCTACTTATACGAACGATATAAGTAGTAGTATAAGAAGGGACGTGAAAGAAGAAGTCTCACAGTCAGAAGAGGAAAACGGAAAGCAAATGGAGCAAAAGCAAGCAATAAATAGAGTACCAACAGGAAGTAAAAGAAGCAACAGCAGGAATGGAAGAAAAATTTTTTTTAAAGTATTTGTCATTATACATTTACATACTTTGAGTTTTTGTGATAAATCAACCAATTCAGTATAATATTCGACATTTTCAATAACACGACGATCATAACCTCCAGCTATGATCAAGTGTACATTTTCTGGTTTTATTTCAATAGAGGATGCATTATCAATCAATTGATTCCAATGTGTAATCAAGTATTCTATGTAAAATGAATAAAAAATTGCATTAAAAGAATTTAAAGTTAGTTAATAGTTTATTCTTTTCTTGTCAGATTATTTTTAGGGATAATATTTACCCATGAAACTTTAAAATATTTTCAACATTTTCCTTAGTAGAAGATTGATTTGGAATTCTTCAATGGAAATCAGCAAAAAAGACAACTGGGGTTTAAAATATGTGCGTAAATATATATTACTGGAAAACTGGAAGCACTGGATGGTCATTTCGCCCCGCGGTAATGAACGAAGATGGTACGACCACTAAATGGAATAAGCAATCACGACCGTAGCTGCTACCTTGACGTGGTGGTCGGGCTTGACTATCGTGATGATCGAACCGAGCTATATCGGCTGGAACATATGTTCCTGAAGGTTCTACCATGCCAGGCAGGTCGATTGGAGAACGATGAGACTAAAAGCAGCTACCCAAGGTCTGAGGGCGAAGTCGTAATGCTGACTGCAGAGGGGTGTGACAGCAGTAAGGTGTTTCCCTCAGACAACCAGCATCTGCAGCGATGCTACCTTCTCACAAGGAAGGAAGGGTTAGAAAAGGTCGACCCTATAAATGTTACACCTCACCCTACTTCACGGATTTCCGTCTCCGACGGTAAGGGTGCCCACTAAGGGCTTTTAAGAGCGGATCTAATGCTGAAAATACCTTTCATGAAAAGGCCGTGCGTGACCAGCCTCAAGCAGTTGTCCCTTGGGCTCTGCGGTCACACTTCCAGGTCTCTAAGACCAACACTAATCTATGTTCCTTTTCAGGTCCCTCAAGAAACAACCTTCCACGGTGTGGGCAGCCGGGAAGTGACAACTGCCCTCATACCAGTAACAGCACGAGAGACCAAATCGGTCAAAACCAAATCCTTTCTACACCCCCTAGTACCTCTCTTATCTCCACGACTAACTCTTCTCACATTCCTTTGTCACACTGCACAGCTAATGAAAACAATGCGAGTTCACAAAACGTCATTTCTGGTCTCCTGAAACCTCGTTCTAAATTATATGTTGGGGCTTTTAATGTAGGGCAACAGGCTTCGTTAGCTAGGACATTAGAATCTCGCTCAATCGATGTATGCTGCAGGAAGAAGGATTTGATTCTGACCAATTTGGTCTCTCGTGCTGTTACGGGTATGAGGGCGGTTGTCACTTCCCGGCTGCCCACACAGTGGAAGGTTGTGTGCTTTTTAATTCTAACCTGAATTCCTCATAATCTCTATCTTTCTCCTTCTAAATTTATCTCACTGAATTATACTTTTCGAATCATATCTTCGCTCCCTTATCTTCTCCGTTACTGCTAATAATTCTACCATCGCTATCACTCTTGGATTTGAACTGACAGTTACGTCTCTGTACTGATGTGGTACGGCAAGCTGAACTGATGTACTTACGTACGAAGTTCTGTGTTGTATCTGTCTGTCTGTCTGGAATAAGCAATTTAGTTGAAGAAAACACAGTTTACTAGCCGAAATGTGTACATTCAATCTTCGAATATCCATTTGCAAAATAAGTATATTCTTGGCTATCTTTCTCCACATGCCTTCTAGTCTTTAAAAAAACACTTTGAACGCGCTATACATATCCAAACCCGACACTTCGTTGCATATTCACCACACTACTTACAAGCCCCGTTATGAGTAGTACATACCGCACGAGTATAAAACTCATCACTAGTAAGCATCCACAACTCCGCAAACAGGAATCGAACGCATGCACTTCGGTAGCACCTGTAGATGCTGAAATATTTCTCTTGAATTCTATTAATCGTGTCATTAAGACCAGTCATCTAAATGACTTAGAATTATACTGTACTATTTTTTTGCAATTTAAGATAGTCAAAAGTGGTAGTAGTGTGGTGTGTGCTACTTATACGAACGATATAAGTAGTATAAGAAGGGACGTGAAAGAAGAAGTCTCATGGTCAGAAGAGGAAAATGGAAAGCAAATGGAGTAAAAGCAAGAAATGAATGGAATACCAACAGGAAAGGAAGGAAGGAACAACAGGAATGGAAGAAGGATGGAGTGTTAGAAGTCACGACTCAAAGATGGTGTGCATTATCATCAGCCTGACTTTCACACGCCACCGAGGCGACTGTTGATTTCATCAGCTCTCTTGTTACTTTAGCCAGTTCGGTGACGTAAATTGGCAGTGCCGCGTTCACCAGTCTCAACTTCTGGGCAACCTCTGCAGGCACACTATCAATGAATTGCGACGCTAGCAGCTGTGCTTGCGACTCCTCATCCAAATTCGGCAGACGCCGGCGCAGCAATCTTGTCAACTCCACAGCGAGCATGAGTGGGTCGCCAACCACCGTCAGTCTCGCCTCTCTGCAGCGCGTCCTGCCTATCCGCCTGGCTGTCGAACTCCACCAGCAGCCTTTCCGTTACCACCTCCCAGTCAGCGTCCTCCACACCATCGTACACCGCTCTCGCCCTGCCTCTTAGTAGAATCCTCAACACCACCGCCTTCGCCCTCTGCTCCTTGACCCCCACCAGCTCCGCCATCGCCTCGAACTCCTTCAAGAAGCTCCTTACATCTCCGTCTTCAAACTCCCGAGGCCATGGAATCTTCATCCTCTGTAGAGGCAGCGACACCAGTTGAGAAGACTGAGGTAGGCGCCGAAGATTGTATTATGCAAATTTACACTGTTAGTCAGTTAAAAACGAAAACATTACATTGAATACTCTATTTGCACACCATCTTTGAGTCGTGACTTCTAACACTCCATCCTTCTTCCATTCCTGTTGTTCCTTCCTTCCTTTCCTGTTGGTATTCCATTCATTTCTTGCTTTTACTCCATTTGCTTTCCATTTTCCTCTTCTGACCATGAGACTTCTTCTTTCACGTCCCTTCTTATACTACTTATATCGTTCGTATAAGTAGCACACACCACAGTAGTAATAGTAGACAGGATGAAAGAAAAAACTACTCACTTACCAAGACTATACAAAGCTAATGAAAGATTCTTTTTCCTTTCATATCGATTAATTGATACAAATAGAATTTTCACTCTGTCAGGCATAATTTCCGATGGTAAACATTTACGATATTCATATTTTAATTGCTGATCATTTTTTTTACATTTTTGCACTGATGCTGGTAAACACAAACTTTTAGCATTTACAATTGGATATAAAATATGCAATTGGACATGATTCAATGATGTGAATGTTTCTCTGAAGACATTAACTACAATATAGAAATTGGAAATAATATAGATGTTATAAGAGAGAACATAATATTGTTTTTTCAATCAAAGTTATGGAGAGTAGTGTTTCTGGCGCATAGAAATCATCAATCAATCATCGTGAGACCACTATTATAAACCTAGAAGCACTGGACGGATGTTCCATCCTTGTATGGGTCAGTCAGTCAGTTGCAACGCAGAACTTCGTACGTATGTACATAAGTTCATGTTGCCATACCACATTAGCACACAGACGCAAATGTCAAATCAAATCCCATGGTGATAAAGATAGTAGAGGTATTCATGGTGATCGAGAAGATTAGGATTTGAAGATATTATTCAAGAAGTATAATAATTCAGTGAGATAAGGTTAGAAAGACAAACGTAGAGGTGCTGACGAATCCAGAAGATTAGGATTTGAGAGAGCTCAAAGAATGGAAGCACTTGCTGACCCCAACATCTACCAACATGACTCAGTCCACTAGTCAGTGACTTCATGGATTTCTGCCATGTTTTGGTCTGGCCGCCCTAACTTTCTTCCAACCAACTCCTACACTACAAAACAAAGCTCGTCGAGGCAGTCAGTGGTTAGGCATACGCAACACATGTCTCAACCACCTCAACTGATGAATTTTCATTACTTCATCTATTGATCTACCATTCTTACCTAGCACCCGATTCCTAATAACAGCGTTGCTCACTCGGGTGTCCCACGATATACGAGCAATGCTTCGAAGACACCTATGATCGAAAACCAGTAACCGACGACGCCTACGCCATAAGTGACGCAGGTTGGCAAAAGCTAATCGAGCCTTCTGTATCAATCAATTCTTAACATGAACACATTAAATTGTATACTTTCAAAAATTAAAAAACAATAATTAAATTAATACTTGAAGTAGATTGATTTCTTAATTGATAAAAAACACTCTAGGTTTAATATCAAGTGTTAAACAATTGAACATTGATCCTGATCGAATTTGGTTTACATGTATATTCAATGAATACAACAATACAATACAATTAGCATTCAATTTAACACAACTAGTATAGTGAGAGAAAAATAACTCAGTCAGTAAGCTACAGAGTAGAACATTGTACGTACACATCACTTCAAATTGACATACCACATTAGCACCAGATCAATTGAATTGTCAATTCAGATCCCATAGTTGCTAGATGTAGTAGTAGAAGTATTAGTGGTATTTGAAGAGATTATGGTTCTAAAGATATATTGCACAAGAAGTATAAACTAGTGAAATAAATTTGTGAATAGAAAGATGAAACGCATAAGGAATTCCGTTTAAAAATGAATGCACCTGAGCCAGAACAAATGATTTTGAACTATATCACTCAATGTCTCTAACCGTAGGTGAATATCGTCTCGCGAACCCCAACAAGGTAGTTCGACACCTAACGACATGACTCAGTCCACTTGTCAGTGATTTCATGGATTTTTGCTATGTTTTCGTCTGGCCACCCACAGCTTTCACCCAACCTACTCCTACGTCACAAAACATAGCTCGTTGCGGCAGTCGGTGGTTAGGCATACGTAACACATGTCCCAACCACCTCAACTGATGAAGTTTCAGTACTTCATCTATTGATTTGCCATCCCTACCTAGAACTCGTTTCCTAACGACAGCATTGCTTATACGGTTGTCCCATGATAAACGAGCAATGCTTCGGAGACATCGATGATCGAAGACTACTAATCTACGGAAGTCCTCTACTGTTAATGGCTAAGTCTCGCATCCGTACAGTAGGAAGGAGCGAACTGCTGCACATTACACTCGTCCTTTAGTCAGCAAAACGGATATCTCGCCTGCGCCATAGGTGACGCAGACTGGCAAGAAAGCCAACAACCGTTTACGATATGGTTTTCCTATTTTACTGAGTAACTCTGTAATTTGCGATAAATACAATTCGGTTGCCCTCACCTGTGTTCTACTTCACTACAATACCACATAAGCACAGGGACGCAATTTTCAATTCAAATTCTACAGTGGTAAAGATAGTTCAAGTATTAGCAGTAAACTCAGTCAGTCAGTCAGTTGCAACGTAGAACTTCGCACGTATGTACATAAGTTCATGTTGCCATATCACAGCACAGAGACGCAAATGTCAAATCAGATCCCATAGTGACCAAGATTGTAGAGGTATTAATGGTAATGAAGAAGACTAGGGTTTGAAGATATTATTCAAGAAGTATAATTAGGTGGGATAAGGTTAGGAAGACAAAGGTAGAGGTGCTGACGAATCCAGAAGATTAGGATTTGAGAGAGCTCAACGAATGGATGCACCTGCACCATTGTAAACGATTTTGAGTCATGTCGTTCAAGGTCTCTAACCATTGATGACTTTCGTCTCGCGGACTCCAACCAGGTAGTCTACATCTACCAACATGACTCAGTCCACTTGTCAGTGACTTCATGGATTTCTGTCATGTTTTGGTCTGGCCGCCCCTAACTTTCTTCCAACCTACTCACTCCTACACCACAAAACATAGCTCGTCGAGGCAGTCGGTGGTTAGGCATACGTAACACATGTCCCAACCACCTCAACTGATGAAGCAGTAAACTATTGTCAAACTAAATCAATTCAAATTAATACAATAAATAAATAAAAATAAATATTATAAAATCTCACTCACTTACATGTGAATTTACTATTTACAAGAACAATATTAGCCATACCAGTGGATAATTGTTCAATATAATCAATAGGTATACGATATAACTTTTTTAAGAAGACATTTTTATTTTTTGCTAATAATAAATCTGGAAAATGACAATAAAATATTGTCTAAAAAAGATTATTATTATGATTATTATTATTAGTGACAAATGAATTTACTTTATATCCAAAAGCACGTAATAGAATGATAGGCGCTGATATTTGATCAACAAATGTTACATCTGGTTTTGTTTCATAAAATAATATTAAATAAATTGTCGCCAGAATCAAACGAATATATGCGCATAAAGCGGTCATGTGACCAAACACCGACCGGGGGAACCAATCAGCTATAACGGTAACATTTAAATTTGTCTTTAATGTCTCTTCAAAACAATGTTCACGATCATGATGATTTGTAATAATGCTAACATGATAACCAGATGATTCCAGAGCAACTGCTGTATCGACTATAAGTCGTTCAGCGCCACCTATACCAAGATCTGGATGTAGAAAGACAATGTGTTTTGGCATTTTCTTTTTTGTTTTGATGATGAGTTCTAACAGGAACTTGTATAAAGGATGTTAAATTAAAATCTACAACAAAAAAAAATAATAGAATGAAAGAGCTGAAGTAAGATATGACAGCACAGATATGATTATTTAAATATAACTCACTTGAATCCAACTCAACAAATAATATATCTATCTGTATTGAGAACTTTGAGTATGATTTAAGTCGTTATTTATTATCGACTTAGAATATATGAAAGATGACATAGTCGTACTTGGTGGTGAAGACGCTGACAAAATGCAGAATCTTTTGACCACCCTAAGCAACAATGCAAGCATGTTCGGCATGCGGTTTTCCTCATCGAAATGCAAAATGTTGCTTCAAGATAGGGTTGCATTGGCACCTGAACTAGTGCTAGGGAGTGAAGTAGTCGAGCGTGTTCGTTACTTCACTTATCTTGGGAGTCTCATCAGTGCTGATAGCCTGGTGACTGACGAAATCTCAGCACGGATACAAAAAGCTCGATTGGCTTTTGCCAACCTGCGTCATTTATGGCGTAGGCGAGATATCCGTTCGCTAACCAAAGGACGGGTGTACTGCGCAGCAGTTCGCTCCGTTCTCCTATATGGATGAGAAACATGGCGGTTAAGAGTAGAAGATGTTCGTAGGTTACTAGTATTCGATCATAGATGTTTAAGAAGCATTGCTCGTATACCGTCGGACAACCGAGTAAGCAATGCTGTCCTTAAGAAACAGGTACTAGGTAGGGATGGCAGATCAATAGATGAAGTATTGAAACTTCATCAGTTGAGGTGGTTAGGACATGTGTTACGTATGCCTAACCAACGACTGCCCCGACGAGCCATGTTTTGTGAAGTAGGAGTAGGTTGGAAGAAAGTTAGGGGTTGCCAGACCAAAACATGGCACAAATCCATGAAGTCACTGACTAGTAGACTGAGTCATGTTGGTAGATGTAGACTACCTGGTTGGGGTTTGCGAGACGAAAGTCACCAATGGTTAGAGACCTTGAACGACATGGCTCAAAATCGTTTACAATGGTGCAAGTGCATCCATTCTTTGTGCTCTCTCAAATCCTAATCTTCTGGATTCGTCCGTACCTCTACCTTTGTCTTCCTAACCTTATCTCACTGAATTATACTTCTTGAATAATATCTTCAAACCCTAGTCTTCTTCATTACCATAATGGTAATGCTTTTACTATCTTTATCACTATGGGATTTGATTTGACATTTGAGTCTGTGTGTTAGTGTGATATGGCAACATGAACTTTTGTACATACGTACGAAGTTCTACGTTGTAACTGACTGAATTCACTATTTAAGTGTAACAATCAAATTAATCGAAGTCTTATTGTTCCATGAATGAAAATCGAATCCACTAAAACAAAGATTACTTCTGTCTGAGGGGTGGCAATGATACCATCAGGTTGAATGAAACGAAGTAGGTAAAGAATGGTCTGGACTTTCTGCCTAGTGGTTGAAAGTTGAATAACTTTACCGCCCAACTGTAGAAATGGAGCATTATTTTTATTTTATATAAAAGTTAGGTTTATATTCATTTATATATATATATATATATTGAAAAAGCTTTGAGTGTCAAGTCACAAATGATAACACAAGGGTAATTTTCGGAGAAAATGAATAACCATTTTTAAACACGGGTTTACATATTATTTTAGTGGCCAATCTACTCTTTAATATAGTCAATATATTGAATGATGGAGATGAACCTGTATCCGGAAAACGTATCACTTTAGGACGTTTAGAAAGTTGATATTAATAGCGTATCTTTAATCTCTATGGAGCGGCTAGACGCTTTCCGAACTGTCTTGACACACACATATTTAGATGTTGTTGATATCCATGTATTGCTTACACTTGTGATGCCTAAATTATACGTAATCGCTTGAGTCTTAGCTTAACTTGATAAAATACTTGTACAAACATCGAATTATGTTGAGACCATATAACTTAAAAATGAAACTAACTTGACTTACCTTAACATCATGCTAAGATACCCTACTTTTCATGTACAACTTAAAAATTTACTGTGATAAAATAACGAATACCCAATTTAGATAGGATGCAATTAACTTAAAATCTACTTGCATATTCTGAATGGTGATCATTACCGATTGGTTATTACTATAATAATTTAAGAGCTTTGCATTTGCTCTCGTAAATATCTTATACTTCTCGAATCATATCTTCGCTCGCTAATCTTCTCCATTACTGCTAATGCTTCTATTATTGCTATCACTCTTGGATTTGAACTGACAGTTGCGTCTATGTGCTGATGGGGCATGGCAACCTGAACCGATGTAATTACGTACGAAGTTCTGCGTTGTATCAGTCTGTCTGTCTCGTAAATATCTGTTAAAGCCTCCTATTTTAGGATTCTAAAAACTTGAACATAATGAGTCCTCCAATTTTACAGTATTGAGTTCATTTGCACTCCTATCTTCAAATATAATACTATGAATATTCTAATATTTAATAGTGTTTTTATTCTAGTTTAGAAATATTTCAAAAATGATGATAATAATAATAATGAACATGTTACGCAAACTTGCAAAAAAATGATAGGAAATATACTTAGCACCTAGAAATACATGTATGTATATCTATAAGAAATAAACGCTAGACAAACTTTTTGCCATACATACATAAGCAAACAATATTGACTTTAAATAAATCGTCATCAAACTTTTTTTTTATCTAATATACAAAAATATTTACATGAATATGTGAAAATAATAAACCAATCAATGTGATTTATGAATTAGTGAGTAAAATGAATAGGTTAAAAGTTCAAATCGATAATGAGAAGGTAGATGTGCTAGTAGTGATTGATATAAATAACAAAAGTTCTAATCAATAATTTATTAGCATAGGTTATAGGTCAAATTCAGATAAATAGACATTAAAACAATATTGTCGAAGAATAATTCGATGTGTTGTAGTGAGAAATCATCAGATAGTCAGTCAGTCAGATGCAACGTAGAACTTTGTACGTAAGTACATCAGTTCATGTTGCCATACCTTATCAGCACAGAGATATCATTGTCAATTCAAATCCAAAAGTAGAGGAGGTAGTAAGGGTATTAGAAGTGATCGGAGAGGTTAGGATGAGAAGATATTATTCAAGAAGTTTGATTTAATGAGAAAAGTTTAGAAAGTCAAAACTAGAGGTGTTGAAGAATCCAGAAGATTAGGATTTGAGAGAACACAAAGAATAAATGCACCAGCGCCATTGCAAACGGTTTTCAGCCATGTCAATCAATGTCTCTAACCATCGATTATTATCATCTCGCGGACCCCAACCAGGTAGTCGACAATTACCGATAATGGCTAAGTCCACTCGTCAATGACTTCATGGATTTTTGCCATGTTTTGGTCTGGCCACCCCTAACTTTCTTCCAACCTATTCCAACACTACAAAACAAAGCTCTTCGAGGTAGTCGGTGGTTAGGCATACGCAGCACATGTCCCAACCACCTCAACTGATGAAGTTTCAGCACTTCATCTATTGATCTGCCATTCTTACCTAGCACCCGTTTCCTAATAACAGCGTTGCTCACTCGGGTGTCCCAGATTACACGAGCGATGCTTCGGGGACACCGATGATCGAAAACCGATAACCAACGAATATCTTCTACTCTCACTGGCCATGTTTCACAGCCATAAAGTAAGACGGAGCGAACTACTGCGCAGTACACTCGTCCTTTAGTCAACAAACGGATATCTCGCCTATGCCATAAGTGACGCAGGTTGGCAAAAGCCAATCAAGACTTCTGTATCCGAGCCGAGATTTCGTCAGTCACCAGGCTATCAGCACTGATGAGACTCCCAAGATAAGTGAAGCGGTCTAGACGTTCGACTACTTCACTCCCTATCACTAGTTCAGATGCCGATGAAACCCAATCTTGAAGCAACATTTTGCATTTCGAGGGGGAAAACCGCATCCCGAACATGCTTGCATTGTTGCTTAAGGTGGTCAGAAGATTCTGCATTTTGTCAGCGTCTTCACCAAGTAGAACTATGTCATCGGCATATTCGAAGTCAATAAGCGAACCACCTGGTAGAAGGTCTACTCCTGAAAATTCAGACGAGGATAAGGTTATATATCTAGGAGCATGTCTATGATAAAATTAAACAAGAATGGAGAGAGTGGACATCTCTGACGGACACCACTTGAAGTAAAGAATTCCGATGACAGTTCGCCATAAGCTCTCACTCATCAGATAGTAACGAATATGATCGGAAGGAGGTTAAGAATGAAAAACGAATACACGATACGAAAAAAAGTTAGCAGAATTGTTTACTATGTCTTATACGGCTAAGGAATGAATAGGGGTGTCATGAATTCATTTTGGATGCATACATCAATGTTAATGGTTCAAACGCCTATGGCTTTCGTTGTATGCAAGAGATCATATCAAACTCACCAACAAATTTGTCTACTCAATTAGTGCATATCAGATATACTTTGTGTGGTTCATCATATTTTATTGACATCAGAAAACAAAACAGAACAGATGGGTGTAGGAGACTTGACAAATTATATAGGTATTGACAAAAATAAGCAGTCATGGAAATGTCACTCGGAGAAATCTATTCTTCACACATCCCCATAATGTGATTTACCGATGTTCATTTCCTTTTATCAGTGAGATAGTCATTTCTAAGTCTAGAGCCGATCCCAAAAGTTTTTAGTTTCAACTGAATAGCTAGGTGATGAACTTTATCAAAGGTTTTAGTAAACAATGGCGTTAACAGCTATGTCGGATTAAAAGCTAATTTGCCAACATGTGTTGAACAATGGTTGTCCGTTTTTCATTTTGACTGCGTTTATTTGCGAATGACAGTCCATCTACATTCATTTGCAAATAAACACAATCAAAAAGGAAAATGGACAAATATTGGTCAATATATCGTAGCAAATCAGTTTTTAATCTAGTGTGGTAGTAAACACCAGTGCAAATGAAATTCTGATGCACATCTTTGCATGTTTTTAACATACTCCGAATGTAAATGGTTTGTGAATCAACGATTATGTCCAATATTGGACTGCACGATTGCGCTTTAAATTAGTGACATATTCTTAATCGGCGTATTTGAAGGAAACACTAAACCCAATGATTTTAATAACTTTTAGAAAATGTAATTTCTGAAGTAGGAGAATTGCTAAAAAGCAGATATGAATGTTACATGTTTAAAAGAAGTATGGCTGTAAAGCTATGTACTCTGTTATGAGATGCACCTGTTCGTGCCAACGTTAGGCACACAGTTAATCTGAACATGGCAGCAGATTGTGATAATTGTGCAGGAATGGGAAATAGGCAAAAACAACAGAAGTAAATTTCGTCCACCCGATGGTACAATAGATCCATTTACAGAACCACCCCCTTCTAGTGGTATAGGTAAATTTATGTGCTCATTAGTCAGCCATAAGCATATATGAGTAAATATTAGTGATGTCTCATGTAAGTTTATAGCTTTAAACATCGTTGAATATGAAGTAATAATGCATCTACCTCAAGCATTTTTATAAATACACTTTGTACAGTTAAAATTAATTTGTTATGATATGACTGACTTTTTGTAAAGCTGTTATAGCCTGCGTCAGAAAATTTCGAAATGATCAATGCGTTGGTCAGTAGAGAAGTTTGCGTTGTGGCCAGCAAATGGCTCATTATTAACGAACTACCCACGTATACAACGACGTTATGTCATTGCGTCAAAAAACCAGTTGAATTCAGACGACAGTTGGCACAGTACGGAATGTGCTGTGCTGCAAAACTTTAGTCAGTTAAAAAAAAAACATTATTTTTCTACTATCCTGTGGACAACTTAGGTTGTGCATTGGACATCGTTGACCCGCTATATTAGTTGGATAGGACAACTCGCGGGACTAAAGCATGTTCCTACACAGATAGAAAGCCAAGATTGTAAGTTATTTCTTGTTTCTCATGTTTGTAGCGAAGTCATCGAACGAAATAAACATAACTTCTAAACAATTCTGCCGTCTTGAACGTCGTTAGAGCTGAGAGGAATATCTCAAATGTAGGCTATTACAAAAGCGCGTCCTTCCAATTGCCATGGGAGTCTGGAATCTCTGCTAATGTTTTAAAATAAGTCCAACCACAGTCGTTTTGCTAAGTTTTACGGCTGGATATTTAACCTTTCTAAGTATCAAACATTTTCAGCATTAAAACATGAGAATAACTAAGTTTTAAAATGATTAAGGTATGGGCACTCAAGTAAAAATTTAACAAAAAGTAAAATGTGACGACAACACAATATCCAACATGTAAGTTAGTAGCGCACTGTTTAACGAAGACGCCTGTAGAACAACCTTCAGTATGATAGAATTGGTTCGCCTTCCCCATCTAGTAACAGTGGACGACGGATGTCTATAGATAGGAAACTGGGTATATTTAACAGGCAAAGTAGAAGAATGAACAAGTCATAATAAAAAACTTTCCCGAATCCTTAAGGTAATATCTTGAAGGATTCCTTGGAAGTCAATTGAACCTTATGACCGGTGGCAAAGTGAGGAATCCCATTACTGTCACGGAGTAGGTATCTCATCATTCCATTCCGGTACACTGTTCCTCTAACTTCTGGATATTTCCCCAAAAGTTTACCGGGCTATGGGGCTTTAGTAAGTATTTTAAAGGGTAATAATGAGTTTTGAGAATGACATAAACTATTAAAAGTTCAACTCCAAGCCTCCTATAATTTAATGAGTAGAGATCCAGTGATTGGAGATACACTTCATAAAATTTAAATTTGAGTTCGAGGACTGATCTTGCCGCTCGTATTCGATACGTCCTTTAACTGAGTGGGATATGATATCATATTTTCATACTCAAAATGAAACCGAATAAAACTTTCAGAAATTAGGCAGAATGTTGTATTGCCAAATTGGTTACTACATTGAAGTTGGCTCTAAAGTGATTTTTGCCACAGATATAACCATATGGAAATCCTCGTTCAGTACACGGTTAGACAGTATAAAATCACATCATACCTGCAGTAAGATAGCGAAAGTAGGTTCACGCGTCCCAGTGTGACCATTTTCCTTTTGGGTTTCCAGCTGTTGAACTCGCTGTAGCATATTAACCTCAAACCTGAAATAAGCACTCGCTGCTCAAATTCTGTATCCCAAATGCGTTTTCACAAACGTTGGGTACATTACCATAGAACTTTTCTCACCAAAGTAATGAGATGGTTCACTAATAGTTCATAAAACCATGAAGCCTTTGATAGCGTCATCCTCCCAGTCACTCATAGATCTAAAGTCGTTGATTAGTATGACTTCCAAGTCTGTATAATCTATATCATTAAATATCACTTCAACCACCGCATAGTAACATGAATCATTGCAGTTATTTAGACGCGTCACCATAGTATTGTTGATATTACCTATCAATGACGAGGAGCAGTAGGAGTGGGGTAGATAAATGTAAAATTCGGTCAGTCGTTTGCTGAAAGTAAAAAAGGAATAAGGTCAAGGACTGTATCTAGAAAAACTTTAATTCCTACAAATCCTCATGTTCATAAGGCTCCGCTTACTCATGCTAATTGTTTCTTATCACTGAGGAAGTAAATTATCCTCTTTCAAATTTCAAAATGGATCTAGGAGAATTACATCTACCGGAATGTAATTACCACTGATTATGCCAGAAATATATATATGTCAGAAATATAGATTTTTATTATCTTCTGCAGCAATCTGGTCATCACTTGAAACGAAAGATTTATCAGATACGAAAGATATTTCCTAAAACCATTTTATTCAATAAAAGGTTGTTTCTTTCCACATAGTTTTGAATAGCCATCTGAAAAATCGTCATTAGCTTGATGACGCTAGTTAGACTAACAGGTAAATAGTTACTAAGTCTCTACTCCTCGCTTCAGGAACCAGACTAAGAATGTTATCCTTCCAATCCCTTGGCAGTTTAGACTGGGTCACAGACGGTCAGGTACAAAGCACAACTTCATGCATAAATTCACTCCAATTTGCCATACTACATCAGCATTCATAAGAGCTTTTATGACCTTCGGGTAAATATACTCAAAACCACTGGACCTATCTGAGTTGAGATGCTGAAGTAATCGAATGGTAACTACCTTTTCAAGGACCTGAAGATCCGTCGAAAAGCCATACATATATAATTGACCCTTAACCTTCATCGGTGAAGAACACTTCATTAAAATAATTTGATAAAGTTCATGCTTTTTCAACATTATACTTTTCAGAGTTAACAGATCTTCCTGTAGTAAAAGTAGGCCTAGTCTTATCACCACGTTGAGTTGGTCTCTTAATATTCCAGAGTAAACTTTTTGGAATATTTTCAAAATCCCAAGCCAATTCTTTTTCGCAAGAAGCTCTACCCTAGCCTATCAATGCTTTACATCCGTTCCAAGTCCTACAACAGGCAGATTTATAATGTTCAAAGCATATACAGATAAATACCTTCAAATGCTTCTTCTTGTTCCCAAGAAGTTTCTTGATCTATTTAACTATCTATAACTCCCCCTGGAGCCCCTCTGCTGCTACTGTAAATCCCAAGCCTGTATAAAGAGGGGCTAGGCATAAGAGCTAGCCACCCCGTCCTGTAGAAGGCTAATTCGCTAAAGAAACTATTACCGAAAAAACTAATTCAAACCATTTTAACTCTGCCCTGAGAGTTAGGCCTCTATTCAGAAAAGTTATGATGTCTCTTAAAGAAAGCCGGCTTTTTTCAAAAGTCGCAAGACCGGTTCCTCTTTTCACAGTCAGAGCAACAAATACAGGTACAGGTCATGCTTGCACCTTGTTCTAGACCGGGAGGGTCATCGAAGTTGTTGCGGAAATAATGAGATGCAACCTCTTCGCTCTTGGAATAAGTGAAACATATTGGATGGGGGTTGGAAAACAAAGACTAGTTTCAGAAGAGATTATGCTGACTATAATGAGCGAAATGCCTCAAACACAAGGAGTTCCATTGATAGGATAGGAATATCATGGAACCAGGACCATCAAATCATCCTTCAAAACAAGAAAGAGGGGATGACGACGAACGTAATACCGTGATATGCGCCTAACACCGATAATGATGAGCATTTTAAGGATCAACTCTGTGAGACTTCGGTCAATAGTCAAGAAATACTGGGGTGAAGATCTGACCATTCTGAAGGGAGACCTGAATACCAAGCACCGAATGGGCAACACCGGTCGTGAAGACATCATGTGACGACATGGACTTGGAGAAAGAAACGGAAATGGTGGGGTATGAGCAAACCTATGTGCCTTCAAAAACATGGTCATAGGCAGACCATATTCCCACAAAACATATGCACAAAGATACATGGGTATTATCAGATTACAGTACAAGGAACCAAATTGATGACATCTGCATCAATAGAAGTTTCATAATGATGATGCAGTACGTAAGAACCAAGCGAGGAGCTGTTATGATTTCAGATTACCACGTGCAACTGTCAAAAATTAAACTAAGAGTGAAAAACCGAGCGAAAACTACTATTAAAGTTTAATAAGGCTTTTCCTTGCGAAACTGGGAAACCCAACGAATTGAAAATAGTCCTTAGCAATAAGCTCCAAACCCTTCATGATCAGTTCTATGAATAGGAAACTATCATGAAGAACAACTCGAGAGGGGTTAAGGGGGAAAAATACTCCAACATGTCAGCAGGCTCTGGGACGCAACTAGCACCATCACAAAGAATTAATCTTATTGGACACTCTGACTAAGATTCATGGAGTGGAGAAACGAGGGTAGCTATCAGTATCAGCCGAAGAAGAGCAGAGAATGCCGAAACGCAAGCTGGATATACAAAAACAAACAAGTAAAGAGACACATCCAAGATGACAAATGTAGAGATGTAGGATATCTAATAGTGATGGCACGAAAAGTTGCAAGAGAAGGAAACATGTGGAAAGTGCATGACACAGTGAAGAAGCTTGCTCGAAAATATCGCAAGCCAGAATGACCACTGAAAAGCTGGGAAGACCAAGCAATCACAGATATTGAAGAACAGAGAAACTTGCGGGTCGAACACTGAAGAACTCTGGCATCGACCAGCCCCAGTGAATTCACCCAAATTTGTTGGGATAGCCAATCGAGAAGAAAGCCATGCACATTGTGGATTGATGAACTTATCGATTAAATGCTTAAATATTTCAAGGGCAGTCAATCGATGAACTATTGGATTTAAAATTCAAATATTTAAACGACAATATCGATTATATTTATAATTGTATAAATACGCATGTTTGATTGTATATTTTTGATTCTGTTAATAAGTGTTCTCCAACGTCTTCCGTCTTTTTATTTTTGACGGTGGGAGTCTAACGTTTCGAGGGTCATTAATACAGTGGTTTGGCGTTACATCAAGCAGAAAACATAAAAGTGGCGACGGAGTGTTCAACCCACAATGCCAATTACCCTTGAACAGATAGAATCTTTACTGGAACGTCAAGGAAAACGATATGAACAGCTCCAGGAACGTATGTTGGAGTTGTTTATGAAACAAATGAATTTGAATCACAGAGGTCTTACCGACGACTCATATAATCCACATGCAGACTCGATAGTTAATTCCATTCATGAATTTCATTTTGATGGCCTTGCTGGTGTGACTTTCGAATCTTGGTTTAAGAAGTATGAGGATTTGTTCAAGGTCGACCTCAACAATCTTAATGACAACACCAAAGTTAGAATCCTCTTGAGAAAGCTCGGCACAATCGAACACGAACGTTATAGTAACTTCATCCTCCCAAAGAACCCACGAGATTTCTCTTTTGATGCTACAATTGAAACGCTGTCGCAAATTTTCTCTGAACAGTCATCTCTCTTTAATATTCGTTATCGATGCCTCAAAATAACCAAGTCAAATGAAGATGATTGGGTAAAGCACGCCGGCTTAGTAAATCGTGAATGCGAACGATTTAAATTATCATCAATGACGGAAGATCAGTTTAAGTGCCTTGTGTTTGTGTGCAGCTTACAATCTCCCGAAGATGCTGATATAAGAACCAGAATCCTAAGTAAAATTGAGCAGTGCCCAAACATCTCGCTTCAAGAAATAACTGCAGAGTGCCAGAGATTAGTAAATTTGAAGCATGATACCTCCATGGTCGAAAACAATGTCCGCGCATCATACGTGCATGCCGTTAGTGAAAAGAAAAATTCCGGCTCACAAAAGCAGCAAAAAAGCACAGACAACCGGCCCTCATCTCCATGCTGGTCATGTGGAGGTTGGCACTATAAGAAGTTTTGTCCATACAAAGATTATGTTTGCACTAAATGTCACAAAAAGGGTCACAAAGAATCTCGATGTAGAAAAAAAACTCGCAGACATTACTCCGCGAAAATTGATTCCAAGAAATACAGTTCTGGT